GCCGGTGCTCCCCGCTCTAGCTGCAGCGCCTCACGTGCTCCAGGACGTACTCAGGGAAGTGCAAGCTGCACACCTGCAGGCCGTCCAGCTTGCAGGGCATCCTGGGGTACTCATCCTCCTTCCACTTGTTCTCCTCTGGATCGAAAGTGAGGATGGAATCGCTGTAGTGCCCGTTGTAGCACAGGCCTCCGAGCACCATGATCTGCTTGTCCAGGACAGCCACGCCGTGGCCGCTCCTCCCAATGGGCATGGAGGCCAGGATGGTCCACTGGTCCGCGTCCGGGTCGTACACCTCCGTGGAAGGACACCCCTGGGACTCAAAGGAGGCCCTCAGGATCACACAAACACCCCCAAAGACATACAGCTTCCCGTTGTACGAAATCATTTTGTGAAAGCATCTCGCGTAATTCATCTTGCATTTGTTCTCCCAGCAGTTGGTGACCACTTGAGTCCTCCTCGTGCGTTGCTCCACCGTCCCTTCTTTACTGGGGTCAAAGACACACACTTGCTTAGAAGTTGATGAGGATGTAATTCCACCAGTGATGTACAGCTTGTTGCCGAGCACAGTCCCTTCATGTCCGTACTTATTGACTGGATAAGGATCCACAAATTCCCATTTATCTTCAGTAATATCATACCGCTCAGTCGAGTAAAATGTTTCATCCCTGGTTCTGCCAGCCACCGCGTAAACGTACCTCCCGATCACTCCGACAGCAAACTCGGAGCGCGGGACAGACATGTCTGCCATCCGCAGCCACGTGTTCTGCCTCGGGTCGTAGCGAAACACCTTGGAGGAGGCGTGAAACTCCCCGTCCGGCCCCAGTTCTTCCCCGCCTAGCAGGAACACAAAGTTGTTCACAATGGCCAGGCAGTCTGGTCGCAAAGGTACTTGAGGACCCTCCAGTTCCCACCAGACCCTCGGTTTGTGCAAGAGAAGAATTTTACTGTTCACCATGCTGTGCCCTATCATTCCTCTGAACACTGCGGTCTGGGGCTTGGCAGAGCGGATTTTGTTTGATTTCATTTCCATCAAAGGCTGCTGGTGAACACTATGGAAGTAATTCATGGCTTGGTCAACCTCGTGTCGCAGCTGCCGGGAGTACCGGTAAAACTCTGATGTTTTTACCTATGAATACATTTAAAAGATATTAAAACAGTGACAAAGAGAAACAATGCAGAACAACCTAAATGAGTACGTGTCGTTAAAGGATTATTATACTTAGTTTCAGGTGGATAAGCTTTGAGAAGAGTTGCATTTGTGCATGGATGGTCGAACTGAACTATAATGATCTACAAGCCAGAGGGCAACCCAGTGACTGACAGCAGGAGCTAATGTTTCAGCTAGACACTCACGTGCTGGATTTAGGTGGGATTAAGGCACGACTGAAATTCCCAAGGTCAAAAATCATTATTTCTTCTCCCTTCAAAGACTTATATCACTCTTATATTAAAAATGCACTACTGCCCAGGTTTGGAAAAACATCTACGTGCTTATTCTGGGTTCACCAAGGTCTACTCCGGTCTGCTGAATTCTCAGAGGGAAGACCAGCAGGATTTCCCAAACTGGAGGCTGTGCTCACAGTGTTCCACTGGCGAGGGGATGACAAGGAGGGTGCCCAAGGCCCTTCCTTCCGAGCAGGAGACTGCGCAAAATGCTGAGCACGACGGCTGTTACCCTGGCATCCCCACGGCCTGTTGCACACCCTTGGCCAAGAGGGAAACGCTGCCCTGGCTGCACATTTTAGCGGCATCTTGGCAAAGGCGGGTTTGAACCTCCGCTTCCAGCTACCACCTTTGAACTGCCCTGCAACAAGGGAGTGCCCTTTCACTCCCCATCTCACAACCTGAAAAGAGTTAACTCTGCTCAGTTTTTTAAAGTAATGACTAAGATTCTACCTTTTGGGAACCTTTCTTACTCTCGGAGCTATTTCGAGTTCCTGAAAGAGGTCCCGAGATAATTCAAAAACAGACAGTGAACGTTTTCATTTAGGCAATGCCAAGCAGCAGCCCCCGCGTCAGCGTGAGTCACTCTACCCATGCAAGAAGTGTAGGTGTCTACTGTAGCATTCTGAATTATGCTTCCAAACAAAACATCCAGCTACTGCTAACCCCCCAAACCCTTCATCGGGTTTCATAAGTAGCCTCAGCATTTTTCCCGCAAGCCGGGCTGCTTTAAAATGGTCCAAACGCTTTTAGTTCCCACCAGCTTTAATCAGGGGCGTAACACTCTGAAGCAGAAACGTGAGGCCACTCCTACATCTCAAGGACAGACCAGACCGTGAGACGACACCTGCAGCTTTGCTGCGACTTCTGCCTCCCGTGGGCTCCTGTGCCCTTTCCCAAAGGAGAGGGGCCTGGAGCACCCCTGACACACACGGGGATAGTTCAAGGTTTTCACACACATAGACTAATACAAGCCATTATA